CTTCAATCATAATTTTTTTTAAATTAAAATCGACTAAATTAATTAATTTCTCTCATAAATAATTAATAAGTATGTCTCTTAATAATTGTAGTCTGTTTCATAAAAAAGAATATTCGTATCTATTTGTATGCATTCATGCATTTTACCCCTTTTATAAGCTGTAAAGACATAAAGTCTTTTCCTTTTTCCTTATTTTGCTTTAAAAAAAACTACTTATTCAAATTGGCCATGTTCCTTTCTATTCACAGATGGTGATAATAGGAGTGATAATGTGGCAAAAGATTGGTATTTCGGTCCTTGTCGGCATTGGATCGTTATTGATTATCGCTCTAATAGTACAAGGAACCTTCAGCTTGTTGAGCCGCAAAATCAGAGCCATGATCGCGCCACTGACCGACCGAAGAGTACAGCTGATGAGCGAACTTGTAGCTGGGATACAGGTACCTCCGAGATATTTGATTCGAGATATTTATTTTATTCTTAAACGACATAAATGGAAAAAAACACTGACGTTTAAGTGTCAAATTCTATAAAAAAATAATTTTCTAAAACAAATTTTCGAGATAATAAATTTCGTTTCAGGTAGTGAAGATGTACGCCTGGGAGAAACCGTTCAGCAAGATCGTGTCGGTGACCAGAGAGCTGGAGATCAAGACGATTAAATTCTCGTCATATGTACGCGCCGCGTATTTAGCCATCATAGTCTTCACTGAACGACTGACCCTCTATTTCACTCTGATAATGTTCGTTCTAACGGGAAATGAACTGACTGCCGATGTGACCTACGAAATGTCGACGTACTTCAACATGCTTCAACTCACTGCCGCATTGTATTTTCCGCACGCACTGATAATGCTGGGCGAATCCATGGTGTCTCTGAATCGATTGGAGGTACATTGCTGCCATTAATTTCAATTTCGCAAAAAATTCTTAAAATCTACAGTCTTTCCGTCCGTAAAATCCATTTCTACCGTCACATACCTGCAACTAAAGATGTGCTTAATTTATTCAGGAACTTATGCTGATGGACGAAGTAAACATGGGCCATTCGGAGAAGACTCCGCAGTTACAGTCTAAATTGCAGAAATCAAACGAAGCAACTGATGAGGAGAAGCAAACAGACAGATACATCTCGAAAAATGGGAGTATCGGGCTTTCCGAGCCTCAGGGATTAGCTGACCTACCGGTCTGCGTAAAGCTTCAGCGTGTCTCCGCCAATTGGACCAGCGGCCAATTGCCACCGACTTTGTGCAACATTAATTTGACCATCAAGCCAGGTCAGTTATGCGCTATAGTCGGCGCCGTGGGCTCCGGCAAATCGTCCGTGCTACATCTGCTGCTAAAGGAGCTGGATCCCGGCGCCGGTTCCGTGATCCTCACCCAGGGCTCCTCCAAGTATAACTTTCAGGGCAATTTGTCCAATGGTTACTTTACGAGCAATCCGAATCTGCGCATCTCCTATGCCAGTCAGGAACCCTGGCTCTTCGGTGGTACTGTGAGGGACAATATATTGTTTGGCCAGCCTTACGACAAGGCCAGATACATGCAGGTGGTTATCATATAGTTTCAAACAATTGCTGCAGACATTATACAGTGTTTATATATTGCACATTAATATTAATGATTTATTGAATATAATTTGGCAGAATTTTCAGATCCTTTAATCCTTCGTTTTTATAATTAGATATAAATCGCAACATTAATTGTGATTTCCAATAAAAAATATATCTTTCGACGAATACTGTAAACTTTTTCAAATTTTTAATCTCTGCATGCTTTCATCTAAAAGAAGAATGTTTAATATTTTCGAATTTCAAACTTTTTAGCATTTCCGAATGTTTCTCACTTTTTGATTGATTGGCAAACATTTCAGGTGGCAAACGTATGTGCCTTGACGAAAGATTTCCGGCAGTTTCCACAAGGAGACATGACGTTGGTGGGCGATAGGGGTGTATCATTGTCTGGAGGTCAAAGAGCTCGAATCAATCTCGCGAGAGCAGTTTATAGACAGGCAGATCTCTATTTGCTGGACGATCCCTTGAGCGCGGTTGATACTCGCGTCGCCAGACATCTCTACTGGAAGTGCATTACCGAGTATCTTCACGGCAAGACAAGGATACTTGTCACCCATCAGTTGCAATTCCTCAAACGAGCGGATCACATCGTCATGCTGGATCGAGTGAGTTGTACAAAATAATCTTTTAATTGCTCTTAAATCAAATATCTTTTTCTTAGAATTTTTCATATAGTTTTCCAGGATATCTACTATTTCATAAGTGTTGAGAGAATTCTTGTGAAAGAAATTCTTATAATATTTCATAATATCTTTAAGAATTTTTAATGTTTTAAATTTATTATTTCTGAAAAATATTTTCAGAGTTTTTTTGCTGAAATTATAGAATGACAAATCTTAAAATATTTTAAAATTCATATATCAAGTATAGTATTTTAAAAATGATACAGATTTTTTTAATACAATTTCGCCAGAGAATCTACATCTTTTCTAGAACTCTAAGATTTCTCATTCTATAATTTTGCAAAACTTATAAAATATTGAGAAAGTTTCAAATATTTTTTCAAGAATTTGTATAAATTTAAAATATAAATTTTTTTAAATATTACAAATATAACAATTATTTTCATCGGGGCAGTATTTCGATTTTTATTCCGTTCTTACATTCCATATTTCAACTTCAAATCTTTTCTTTTCCATATCCGATTTCAAGTCCGATTCTTTCAAATTGTTACAACAATGAAGACTTTAGCATGGCCAAATAAATTGAATGATCCTCATATTTCATATGTGTTATTATTAAGAGGAAACAATATGTCAATTACATGTTAAAATCAATAAAAATAAATAGTAATCTTGTGTGTGGTATAATGAAAATTAATGTTAACACTTCTAAGATCTTTTTGTAAAAAAAATGATAAAAAGTTTTGAAATTTATATATCAACTTTTAAATTCAAACATTTAAAAATTTATATGTAAATTGAATTGATAGAATCTTGAGGGTTGTATAAAATATCTCTCAGATTAAATATTTTGATTTTGTTCTTCAAGGGTTTCGTAAAGATGCAAGGAAGCTATAACGAATTAGTACAGTCGAATAGAGATTTTATTAGGATGATGGACAATTTAAATCACGAAAAAATTGAAGCGCAAAAAAAAGAAGAGGAATTAAGAAGAGTCTCGCAAATGTCTATGAGAAGAATAACAGTAGCGAGACGAGCCTCGGGAATATCGATAGCAAGTTCTATTGTAAGATAATCTTTATCACTCGTCATTTTTAATCAAGAAACATAGAAGCTAAATTTTTTTTATCTTTGTCTAATAAAAATAAACTTGTCATTTAACAAAGTAATTTAAAAAAAGTATCTGTACAGCTTGCATTAAAGATATTTAACATAGCTTCATTATAATTAGCAATTAATAAAGCAAATTGAAAAGAGCCAAAATAAGATTACGAGAGAAGTTAAATAATTGTTAAATATCTGTTAACGCACTCTTTTAACATTGTTTATTAATGTTTTTGATGACTTCAACGTAACTAGCTTCGTCGAATTACGTTCGTTGCGAGGAAAAAGCAAGTAATTAGATTGTTATTTTGACATCGGCAGCAATCGGACATCGAAGAATTCGAGTACGAGGAGAACAGCCAAGAAGCCGAGATGATGGCACACGGTCGAATATCCGGCAGAGTATACAAGAACTATTTGCATCACGGTGGCAACTACTTTATCCTGTTAATACTGTTACTGATCTTCGTCATCAGTCAGGTTGCCACCACCGGAAATGATTACTGGCTCTCATACTGGACCAATTTGGAAGACGTCAGGCGTATCGAAAACACTAGTGACACCAAAAAGTTCGCGAGCATGTACAACGACACCTTCCTTGGGTCGATCTTTACGCTGAACCCGGACGGTCTGCTTAGCACTGTGGATGCCATATATGTATACACGTTCTGTATTATCGCTTGCACCGCTACCACGTTGTTCCGTAGTTTCCTCTTCATGAAGGTTTGCATGAGCTCAAGCTACAATCTCCACAACACCATGTTCTCCAATCTGCTGCAGGCGCGCATGTCCTTTTTCCACACCAATCCTTCCGGTAAGCAACAATCGTGATATCTCGATGGACAAATAAAATCATTGCGCTAAACGGATTCAGAATTAATGAAAGTTTACCTTAGAGTTTTTTATATAATGTTTCAGAATTTTTTAAAATTTATGTATAATTATAGTTTTTAAAAATTTTCTCAGATCTTTTTATGCAAATTAGAAAGTTTTTATTTTGATTTAAAAGTGTTTAAAAAGTTTATATTTTTTTAGAATTCTTTGTATGTGTATACAATAAATTCTAAAATAATCTAAGATTTCTAAAATTTCTCATTCTATAATTTTCGAAGAAAATTTATTATAAAATCTGAAGATGTTAGAGGCATTTTTTCACAAATCATGATAAATTTAAAATACAAAAGATTCTTAAAATTTTATGTGAAAATTATTTTCAGCGTTTATAAAATTTCGAATCCGTAAGCAGACAACTAATATAGTAGTATACTAATAATTTTATTAAATTTGGATTGTAATAATACCTTGAATAATACTGTTGTCTAAAAAAAAGAAAAATATAATGATTGACACAAGTTCCTCCAAATATTTGTAAAAATTTTAAATTATTTAATTTACATATTTCGATTCCTAGACTTCAGTAGTCGGATTTTTCGTGAATCTTGCTTTAATTAGCGTTTTTCGTGTTTCAGGGAGAATTTTAAACAGATTTTCGAAGGACATGGGCACGATGGACGAGTTGTTGCCTAAATCGATGTTAGAGGCACTCCAAGTGTGTTGCGTGGTGCTGGGTATAATGGTCATGGAAGCGATAATTAATCAATGGATG